ATTGATTTTTTACAGAGAGGAAGAGAGAGGGATAGAGAGTTAGAAACATCAATCAGCTGCCTCCTGCACACCTCCTCCTGGGAATGTGCCCGCAACCACAAGGTACATCCTTCACTGGAATCGAACCCGGGACCCTTGAGTCCACAGGCCAATGCTCTATCCACTGAGCCACACCGGTCAGGGCAAAATAAAGATATTGAGGAAATGCTGTGCTACTTAAGTCCAGACGTAGTATTTGTTGATCTCTTTCCTCTTCAATTCACTGTAATAACCTTTTCTTCCTCCTGTTTGAACTAATTGTATGACCCTGGGCAAGTTATTTAGCCTCTGGTCTGCTTTCTACGCCGTGAACTGTAAGGATTAAGGGAGTAAAACATGCCTAGGACTTTGGATTTATCATCATTCGAGCCGGGGGGTTGGCTTAGGGGTGGGATGGGTGGGACCTCAGAAGGACAGTGCGTGGACTGGGCTGTGAGGCGAGGCCCCGGCCCTCCTCTCGGCACCGGGCACGGCACCCTGCGCTAGTCACAGCCCTTGGTGCACTGAGAGCCGAGCCGGAAGCGCTGGGAAAGCACATGTTCCAAGCGAACAGGGCGGATGGAGTCTGTCTGAGGACCATGGTCTCTAGCGAGGGGCCTGGGGGCCTGCACACTGGCTGCACCCACACCGCACCCCGTTCTGTTCCGTGTGTCCTGACACCCGCCCTCGGCGAGGATCTGCACCCAGCGGGCGAGGGGCGTTGAAATCGGCCTGAGGTCCACCCGTTTCTCCAGCTTCATGGTCCCTCTCCCAGCGCCGCACTGAGATGAGCTTAGACGGACCCGGGCAAAGGGCGGAGCTGGCGCGGGAGGCCCGCGGGCTGCACTCTTCAAGGACATTCTTTTAAAGGAACGTCTTAAAAATCGTATTGAAAAACCTGGACTTGGAGCTTTCTTCACAAGCTATGGTGCCGCTGGCTCGCAGGGGCCCGGCAGCGGCGGGCTCGGCCAGTCCCGTTAGAAG